CTCTGTTAGCGTAGTGGTTACGAATCGTGCTGCGAACCCCAAGGTCAGCAGTTCGAAACTACCAGGTGTTCTGACGGAGAAAGATGAGGCTTTCTACTCCGGTAAAGATTGACAGCCTCAGAAACCCTGTACTGGGTCGCTATGAGTCGGAACCGACTCCACGGCACATAACAACAACAACAACAATAATTCTTAATCACTTCAAATTTGAGAACCACTGAGCCAGAGAGAAGAGAAAGACGTGTCATCAAACAACTCTATATTTTTGTCAGTATCTTGGTGAATATCATTTAGACACCCATACTTCTCTCCATCAGAAAATGGAGACACAACTCATATCATGACTTAAAATACTTTCGGTGTTCAGGACTTTGTTAAGTGGACAAACAGCTCTGAAGGTTGAACAAGCCAGCTCAATGCTTCCAAGGGAAGTGGCAGAACTAAACATGAAAAATTTATCAATTGGTCCTTCAACTGACTGTTGTCAAACCTGTTAATGCAAAAGAATTTACAGATCCCAACAGTGAAAGAAAGTAGTCAAGATATTCTATGTCTTACATCCAGGTTTTTTTTGAGACCTCATTGTATTGACTCCTTTGAGAGAGTTTTAAAAAATGGAGAGAGATTGATGAAATGAGTTGCTATGCCTGAGGACTCAGGACAATAGTCTCAGTAAGCACTGGTCAATTGGTCTAACAAGTCCATAAAGACAATGTTTCCTGTCCTACTCTTGTGAGGAGAAACTGGAATCTAAAACTCATGAGCAACCATTTAAGGTGCAATTATTAGTCTTCCCCATGCAGAGGAAAGATGAGTGATGAAAATGGAAGATACTTGGAATCAATTAGTGCAGTGGACTAATGGAACACGTGAACATCAGTGTCCATGACTGTGACACAAGACAAACTAAATGATGTTTGGCTTTCACTACCAACTCTTAGGAAAGGGATTACATTAGATGATCCTGGTTAGAGTGGGAGAAAAATGTGGAACAAAATTCAAAATAATAACAAAAAAAAAGACCAGTGTTACTGGTCAGATACAGACTGGTGAGATCCAGAGATTGTGACCCTTGGTCAGCCTTCAGGTCTGGAACTCACACTCATGGTCAAATTTTAGCCACGCAGTAGACAGGTGTACAGGGAGAAGGGTAATTCTAGTAAGATACGCTTACTGTAAGTGGTCACACAGTCAGGATCAAAAGGGCAGCATTTACTTAAGGGAAACGTTTGGAAGGGTTGGAAAGGCGGGTGAAAAGCAAGTAAGAATCACAGGGAGAAAGTGGAATAACCGATAGTACCCAGAGAGGATTACAGTCTAATGGCATTAAATGAAGTGTATGATTTGTTTAATGTAAAACTGATCATCTTCTCTGTAAAACTTCACTCAATTCACAATAAAAATATTTTTAAAGAATGGAGAGAGATAAAGTGCTTCTGTAGGGAAATAAATGCTTCCCAAATACAGAACTCCCGGGGTGTTGTTACTTTCCTATTCTGATATTCTCTAATCCCAATGCTATTGCAAATGGACGAATGAAATGTGATGTAAAATTTGTCATGCATGCATTGTATTGGTGGCCTTTGGTTGAGGAATTCAGAGATAGTGGAGCAATGGGGCAAGTTGATACAACTGTGAGGTTCATTGCTTTGACATCTGTTTGGGTTTTATGCCAAGCTCACATGCTCTTGTTTTACATTTTATATAAGACCGTGCTGTTGAGCAACACAGCCATGCTCCTTACCTACCTGGAGCCTAAATTCTAATGGTGCAAGCACACATTAAGCAAACATTGAGCTACAAAGTATCAAATGAAAATGATAATCGGTACAATGATTTAATGTGAAAGAGTTTCTGGTTGGGTGATGAAAGTGATGGAAACCGTGCATGATGATACGTGTACACCATTGTGAGTGTAATCAGTGTCAATGAAATGTACACTTAAAAATGGCAAAAAAATGATCAATTTTCTGTTACATATATAGTATCACAATAAAATTGTTGATTAAAAAAACTTGGCGCAATGAAGGAAAATATTAACATGCTTGATGTAAGCTAATAAAATGTTATTGGGATTGTATGAATGAAACTGAGACCCAAAACCAGAGTCACCCAAGTCAAGAAAAGAGGGGAAGGAAATTCTAGGCACAGTGTCAGCAGGTACTAATCCCTGAGGATGGAGACATTTGTCTTTGTGGAGGAATCGAACAGAGGCTGGCGTGGCTGGGTGGCTCAGAGTAAGGCAGGTGCCAGGACTTAGTGTGAAGATCCTCTCGGATTTTAGTAAAGAGTTTGGAGTGTATTTCCTGAGCCCTTCTCCTTGTATCAGCCTTTCTTTGGATCTTGATGTCTGCTGAGGGCACTACTGATCAGGCACTTCCCTATTTCTGCTGGACCACTATCTTGAACCCTTCTCTTTAGGCTATGAGTCTGCTTCTTTATATATAATTGCTCCTCCCTTCAGAACTAAGATTATCATAGGCAGCATGTGTCATTAGAGATTATATAGGTCCCAAAAGATTAAACAAGATGATTTAGTGTCAGAACCGTTTTTTTTAGGCCCCTCTGCAATGAGTGCTTCCTGGTATCTGTGACCAGGGTCAGTGATCTAATTCATACATCTTTAGGCATTCATTTTTCACTTCCAGAGCGTATGGTTGTTATTAGTTGTTATTGCATGGGCTTCAACTTTTGGTGCCCTCATATACAACAGAACAAAACCTCACCCAGTCTTGTACTGTCTTCAGGATGGTTGTGTATTTGGGTGTAGAGTTGTGACTATTGTTTTCATTTCATCTTATTGGGGTTTTTCTTCATTTCCACTCATCCTCCACTTTACCAAACTGTTAGTCCTAAGAGATACTTAGTGTCACATATAGTATCAAAGGACATAATGTTGTTGTTGTTGTTGTTAGTAGGTGCCATCAAGTTGGTACCAACTCATAGTGACCTTATGCACAAAAGAACAAAACACAGCCCGGTCCTGGGCCAACCTCACAATCATTGCTGAGCTTTAGCACATTGCTATGCTGCGGTGTCAATCCATCTCATTGGGGGACTTCCTCTTTATTGCCGACCCTATAGTGTGTACTATAATGGATACTCATTAAATATGTTTTAAAGGCATGACGCTTTCACCAAGCCTACAATGCACATAATTTATTGGTGACCAAATTAATTGCATTCTATGACTGGCCTAATAGCAAAGGTCACCAGGAAATGGAGGCATTCTTCAGGATTGCTGGGTGTCTTCCTGTTCCATCTCTCCTTCAATACTCTAAAATCAGATGAAAAATTGAGTGGAAAATGATAAAGTTCAGATTTCATTAGCATTTGATATCACTGCTCCTTAGGGGGGGAAATCACATTTTGGGTGACCTTTTTAGTTAATCCACATCTGAGAGAAAATCACCTTTAGAATCTTCTCTAGTGTGTTGCTGTAGGATAAGCACTGGACTGGTAACTGCAAAGTCAGCAGTGCAAACCTACCAGTCACTCTAGGAAACCCTATACTAAGTCACTCTGAGATGGGACTGACTTGAAAGCATACAGCAACACAACAGATTCTACTAGAGAGAAGGTCACATTGGGGAAATTGCACTCTGAGAGTTCACAGGAAAAATGTGGATCTCTTCATTGTGACTTTTGACCCCCCAGAGTCTGGGACACAGTTTCCAATAGTGGAATTCAAAGAGTAAGTGGAAACATCGACTATGACCCATGCTAAAATACAGGGGCGATGCCAGAGGAGAGACAAACCCCTTCTGACAGGGAATGGAAGACTTCACAGGGGAGAGCATATTTGGACTAAGCCTTAAATAGTATTTGACCAGGTTTCTTGTTGTTTGTTGTTATGTGCCATGGAGTCGGTTCTGACTCATAGTGACCCTGTACAGGGTTTCTGAGGCTGTAAATCTTTGTGGGAGCAGAAAGTCTCATCTTTCTCCCATGGAACAGCTGGTAGTTTTAAACTGCTGACCTTGCTGTTCGTAGCCTGATTCGTAACCACTACACTACCAGAGCTCCTTATTTGACCAGGTAGGTGTCTTGATTTCTTAAGGTTGTCATAAGATCCCATGAAATGAGTGGTTTATAAGAGCAGAAGTTGAATTCTTCACAATTCTGGTGACGGAGAATCCAAGATCAGGGTGTTGATTGTGTTGACTTTTTCTGATGCTTTGAGGGAGAATCTGTTGCATACATCTCTCCTAGGTTCTCATAGCTTCAGGTTTCTTTGGTTTGTAGCTGGAGCATCACAAAGCATCTTTCCTCTGTCTCCCTATTCCAGTGCATTTTCTCCTGTTTTAATAGGGCACCATATCTGTTCTACAGATTAGGACCCATGGTACTCCAGGGTGACCCCTGGTAACCAAACTGATATCATCAAGCAAGGTCACATTCATGGTTATAGGGATTAATTCATACCTGTTGTAGGCAGTCCTGGTGTGGTGGTGTGGGTTAATGTGCCAGACTGCAAAGTCACTTTGAATCATAAGGTTGGTGGTTCAAGCTCACCAGCCGCTCCTTAGAAACCCTATACAGGGTGGTTATGGGTGAGAACTGACTTGGTGGCACTTAACAACAATTGTAGGGACACAGTTCAATTGATAACACCAGGCTTTTGACAAGTGGAGAAAAGAAAGATGTTTCAGGTAACAGACATAGTATATGCAAAGGGACTGAAATATACATGTTCAGATAGAGATGGTGGGTGGAGTCTCAGGTCCTAGAAGGGTCTGCTCTTGGATGTTCCTCTACAGGGTTCAGTTGCATTTCTTCTATTGCAGCTCAGACTTTCTTGATCAAGGGTTTCCAGATTCACCCGCATTAGCCACATAACTATTCTTCCAGACAAGCTGGATCACAACTGACTTCAGAATGTTTTTTTATTAAAACAGTGTGGTCTTCAGTAATATCACTTATTTGTGAGTTTCCCAGATGGAAAGAGTACACCAAATTGATGGTGTCAGGTACACTTCCCATAAATAGAAGATGAAAAGAAAAATCTATGAGGTCACATCCAGTCAGTCACTTGAGGATCAGGGCAAGAAGATTCCGGGATGTATTTCTTTTCGAGCACTCTTTCCAACTCATACCTACATGTTTACATTTATATAGCACCTTTCCTCAAAGGAAATTACTTCACTTGTATAATGGCAAAAGGTCACTGGAAATTTGAGTTACACAGAGATGCAATAAACTTTACCCTGTCAGGAAGTTTGCTCTGAGACAGCAAATGGTCCTTTGAGGATTCCATCCCATCACTCCCACTTACAGTGTGCCGGTGGATGGTTCTCTAAGCTATTGAACGCTTGCCTCCACACTTGCCTCCCTCAATTGCCTTCACTTCATCTCCTCTTCCAGACAACTCCCACAGCTTCCCTCGTGACCTTAATTATCACCTCGTCAAGTATATATATATATTTAGTGTTTTTAATCTGTCCCCAGAAATCCATCCATCCTCCACATGCCCTACATGTACTTAACCCTTTCATTTTTCCCTCTTGCTCTGGTGCGTTTTCCACTTTCTGGTTTTAAGTGACTCGGAAGGAAACTATCCTCTTATTATTGTTGTTGAGTGCCGTTGAGTCTGTTCTGACCCATAGTGGCCCTGTACAGGGTTTCTGAGGAGCAGCTGGTGAGCTTGAACTGCTGACCTTGTGGTTCAAACCAACTTTGCATTAACTCACAATGCCACACCAGGACTCCATGCTCTTGTTGTTGCTGTGTGACATCAAGTCGGTTTTGACCCAGAGTCAGGTGAAAAGGAATTTGCAACCTGGCAGCAGTGTGATATCTCCACTTCTGAATATGAACTTCAAAATCATATTAGCTCTTTTCTTTTCTTTTTTGCTCCAACATTCCATGACGGGTCTAAATCCGACTGGCTGCCTGCACATCTCTTTTCAAGATGCCTTTTCAAATTTGCTCTGTGCTTTGAATATTTCCTTTCAAAGGGAGCGGGCCACCCTTTCCATAAAGTTAAATCTCTGCTTACTCGTTTCCACTCCTGTGTGGCTCTTGCTGCCGAGTTCCTCTGCATCGCTCTTCTTTCTTTCCTGGCATTTGAAAACTTTTCAATTTGGAATCACCTTAGTGTGAGGTCTTCTTTGCATGCTGCTTATGAATATAGATGATGACATGACCAAAGGGAACTCTCATGCTTTTAGATGTCATTTGGTTATGTGGCTCTGTATTTGTATCTTCCTATATTGTTATAAACTATTGATCAATGAGGATCTCACTGCTGGTAGAATTCAGGGAAGACAACTGGGATAATGGACTGAGTACAGGCTATGGATTCAAGAGATCAAAGTTCAAATCCTTACTCAGTCATTACCAGCCCCAAACATCTGTATTAGTTTCTGAGAGCTGCCATAACAAATTGCCATAAACTGGGTGGCTTGAAAAAAATGGAAATGTTGTCCCTTGTATCTCTGGAGGTCAGAAGCCTGAAACAAAGGCTAATTTTTCTGGAGGCTCTGAGAAAGAATTTATACCTTGCCTCTTTACTAGATTCTGTTTGTTGCCAATAATCCTTAGTATTCCTTGGCTTGTAGACACATTGCTTCAATCTCTGCCACCATCTTCAAACTGTCTTCTTAGCATTTCCCTGGCTTCTCTCCTATCCTTACAAGGACACTACTCATCGGATTTAAGGCCTATCTCAAAGCCGATATAATAACGTCTGGATTTCCTTGAGTATATGTGAAAATACCCTATTTCCAAATTAATTTACAATTCCACATACCTGGAATTAAGACTTGTTGTGAAGTGCCATCAAGTCGGTTCTGACTCGTAGTGACCCTGTGTCGGGTTTCTGAGGAACATGTTATTTAATCCAATCCTGGGTGTGTTATTTAATCTCTCAGATTCTCAGTTTCTTCACATGCAAAATGGGTAGTATTGCCAGCTATACTAGTGGTTGAGGAAAATAAGTGGTAAGATGTTCAGAGACCCCTGAGCATTATTGTTGCTGTTGTTAAGTGTCATCGAGTCGGTACCGACTCACAGCAACCTTATGCTGGAAGTGTAGTGCTTACGAATCGGGCTGCTAATCTCAGGGTCAGCAGTTCGAAACTACCAGCTGTTCTGCAGGAGAAAGATGAGGCTTTCTGCTCCCGTCAAGATTTACAGCCTCGGAGGCTCTGTGCAGGGTCGCTATGAGTGGGAACTGACTCCATAGTACCTGACAACAACTGAGCATTATGGGGGCATATGCTAGGTGTCCAGGAACCCTAGTAGTACAATGGATTCTGAGCTGGACTGCTATCCACAAGGTCAGCAGTTTGAAACCACCAGCTGCTCTGCAGCAGAAAGATGAGGTTTTCTACTCTGTAAAGACCTGCAGCCTTGGAAACCCTGTACAGACTCTTCGTGAGTCAAAAACTGAGTCCATGGCACCCAGTCACCACCACCACCATAGTAGCTGGCCAGCAAATGTGCATTCCGTTTTTCAAAATGTCTATTATTCCCTTTGTTTGACACTTTAGAAAACTGATGTGATCTTGTAATAAAGACTGGAAAGTAAATTTTCACAGAATCAGTGCTATGTTAGTTTATGGAATTTAGAAATAAGTTTTACACCTGCACATTCTAGGCAGAGGAAGCAGCACATGCAAAGGCCCTGTGGCAGGGAGGAAAAGGGATGTCTAGGATGTGCAAAGCAGAAAAACATAAGGTGGATTTAGAGAGGGAGGCAGGAGCCTAAGACCCTGGCAAACAGGATTCCAGTCAGGAATGCTGTAGGTGCTGGGGGAGAGAGAAGGGAACTGGCAGAACTGCTCAGGGGCAACAGCAACTTCAGGCTGCAGTTCAGAAAGGTAGCCAGCAGGGTAGGCCAAGATCTCTGGGGTCATCCTCTAGGACACGTACGTACACAGAACCTTGCCCTCCTCCTCCAATTCTGGTCTCCCCATGGTCTAGACTCTGCTTTAACCCACAGCTCAAACCGTCCCTTTGCCATGGGAGTATCATCAGCTCTGCTATTTGTGCTTTTGCTATTCTGTTTCTAATATCTAATAGAGGCAAATGGTCCAACTTCAAGTCACTTCTCAAAACCAACATATGGCAAACATGCATTTCAGAGTGACAGTTTCTACAACACCAGTGAAACTGCAGTGCTTTCCTAGATAATAAATAATCCTGGTGGTACGGTGGTTAAACACTAAGCTGCTAACTGAAAGGTCGGTGGTTGAAACATAACAACCTCTCTGCAAGGGGACATTAGCAATATCAGGATCACCTCTGAGCTCCTTGAGTACCATAAATATGTATAGTCTTGGAAACTCTAAGGGGCAGTTCTGTTTTGTCTCAGAGTAATTATGAGTGGGAATCAACTTGCTGGCAATGATTTGATGGGTTATTTTTTCTACATAAGCCATAAAACTACAAAGTCTGTTGAGTTTATTTAGAGTGAGATCTACTACTCTGTTTGCCTTGCTGCTGCTATTGATTTACCTGAAGCTAAGAACTGGTGGGGTTTGCTCACCTAGAATAGACCACCATTAGATACAGTCAGTTTCAGTGGTGATGGTAATGCAGTGCTCAATTATGTCATAAAATTATTTTTATGAAATATAAAAGCAGGCATGGAATGATGATATTAGGGACCTTTCAAAAAAGAAAAACACAAATCAAAAGGATGTGGAAGAAAACAAATGGGTGAAGGAAAGCTGAATGAAGATATGGCAAGTCAAGAAAACACAAGTATTATAAATAACAATGTCTATGAGTCCCTAGGAGCTCTGGTAGCATAATGGTTATGACTTGGGCTGTGAACCACAAGGTCAGCAGTTTGAAACTACCAGCTGCTCCGAGGGAGAAAGATGAGGCGTTCTGCTCCCATAAATATTAACAGCCTCGGAAACTCTGTGCAGGGTCACTGAGTCGGAACCGACTCCACGGCATACAACAACAACAACAACATGAGTCCCTGGGTTATAACAATCGTTAACATGCCTGTCTGTTGACCATAAGGTTAGAAGTTTAAGTCCACCCACAGTACCCTTGGAAAAAAGGTCTGATGATTAAACTCTGAAAAAGCAGTCATTCGAACCTGTATGGAGCACAAGTCTATTCTGACACATATGGGGTTGACATGAGTTGGAATCAACTCGGTGATAACTGCTTTTATAATTGTTGTGTAATCAATTTTCCTAGGCAAGTGCAATGCAAATCATGTGTTCTAAGCTTCTCCAGGAAGTCACAGGGATGCTATGTTATTAGTTCTTACTGCTGCGCAAGTCAAACCTAACATTTTATATTGCTGTTTGTAAGTGCATTGAGTCGGTTCTGACTCACAGTGATCCTGTAAAGTGTTTTTGAGGAGCATCTGGTGGGTTTGAACTGTCAATGTTGTGGTTAGCAGTCAAGTGCTTATCCTACAGCACCACACCGGAATTCCAGAAATGAGATTAAAGCACATTGGTAGATAGCAGTTATTAGTCTTCACCTAAGTTGTGGGGCAGGTGATACATTCAACATTCAGTCCATGTTTACTGGGAAGTTACAATGTGTAGTGCATTGAATGGGTTGCATCGGGGACTCTAGAGAGAGAAGCATCCATGAGCTTTGTCCCTCCTTAAGCATTCAAGATTGATTCTTGGTGTCTTGTTTTCTGTGGCCTTCACCTCGTTTTCCTACTCATTCTTGGTGGTGTTCTGAATTAACCAAGGTCACAAAAACTACAAATAAATTGAATAAAGGATGCAGTGGGTCAGAAACTATGGAGTTGTAGTATTATGAGGAGCTGAAGCTAAAGAAAAGCAGTTGCTATTAAGTCAACACCGACGCATAGTAATTCTGTGTGTTTCAGAGTACAATTGTGCTCCGTGGAGTTATCAATGACTCATGTTTTGGAAGTAAATAGGTAAGTCTTTCTTCTGAGGTGAATTTGAGTGCACTGGAACTTCCAACCCTTCAGTTAGCAGTTGAAATTATTAACTGTTTGCCTTACCCAGAGAATCCAGGTACAAACAAGATCCACACATCCAGGAAAACAACCTCTGCACCTGCAAGTTG